AAATAACAGTCATTAGATTTAATATTATTAATAAGCTTTTTAATTTATTTTAAAAAATATGATGTATCAGAAGTGATGATACGACCTATATTAATATTGCATGGTTTTAAATATTTCAGCATGAAATACAGTAAAACAAAAGATGATGTTTAGCATTTGTGAATTAGCGAATTCGGAAAAAATTATATATGTGGGGTGAGTCAGTAAAAACGCACCATATCATTTTTAATGAAATTTTTTCAACCTTCAAACAAAAATAACTTAGCAAAACCTTAATATCAAATTTAATAATTTTTTTTTAAATTAATTCTATAAGTTTTTAGGATTGTTTGATGAGTTATCTTTGTTTAAGGTTTTAAAAAAAATTTACTTAGAAAAATATGACGATTGTGTGAGCTTAAATTTTACGCCATCAAAATGAAAGGCTCTGATTGGCTGGTGTTGACTGATAGACAATGGTAAGAAATTTGTGGTTACCCTGGAAAATATGAAGTGTTGTATTCACGAACAAATTTTCAGATCTTCGTTGTAGTTAACTTTGAAGACAGAATTTTTTTTCTAGCGGGTTCGTTAGGGTTTCATCTTTTTGAGTATAAGGTTTCGTCTTTTGTCATTGTGCAAAAAAGGTTTCGCCTAACAATTATAGGTCTACCCAATGCAATTAATTTAGTTTACTTAGCAATTACAAAATCTTAACGAATTAAAACAAATAATCTTAGATTAATATATTGCCTCAATCCAACAATTTATATATTTTAATCTACTTTATTTAAAAAAAATCATTGCAAATTTATTCCAATACAATATTAATTTAAAAGACATTAAAAAATTGGTTCTTTAACAGGATTGCTTACTAAAATGGGTTCTTTAACAGGCTTGCTTACTAAAATAAGTTCAAAAATTAACAAGCATGAAAAAAAAAATAATACTTTAAAACAACCATAGTGATTGGGCAATATTTTTACCTGCATTTATTGGTTTCGGGAGATTTTGATAATTTAAAAACCGACTTGTATAAATAGCTTGTTTATGTGTCTGATAGTTGAGTCGTATTGATCTGACTTGATTTGAACCTTTGCTCGAGTCTTTAAGTTCTTTAACTTGTCTATAAAGTTCTTTTTCTTTATTTCTCAAATCTGCTAAAAATTGTTTCAATGAATTTGCTAATTCTTTAGCAGTTGGCCGCTTTTGAGGCTCAGCATCTAAGCATTTATTCATTAAATCCAAAAGTAGTTGAGGAACCTCACATTTAATTTCAGGTCTATGACCTAAGCAAATGTTTCTTACTAAATTCTCATCATGTGAAATATCATGATATGGAGGGTGTCCAGTAAATATTTCTGACATGATAATTCCAAAAGAATAAATATCTGATTTTTGAGTGTACTCTTTTCCGCCAGTATATAATATCTCTGGAGAAATATAAGGAATTACACCAAAAATCCCTTCAGTGCTTGAATTTTGTGATACTGGCTTACATAGTCCGAAATCAGTAACGTAAGAAAGAAATATATTTTTGTTAACTATATTTCCGGAATGAAGATCTTTATGCACTAAACCAGCTTGGTGGATTGTATTAATCCCATCGGCTACGTAATATAAGATAACAATTTTAAGCATCCAATCTAAATCGTTATATTTGCTATCTAATAATTTTCGGAGACTTCCCTGCTTTGCAAATTCCATGACTATCATATAATTATCATCATTTGGGTTTTTAGTGATTCCATAAATTTTAATTGCTGAATGACCTCCAAGTTTATGTTGATTTTTAATCTAAATCATTGATTAAGATAAATGAGACTTGAATAATAATAACGATAATAACAATAAGTTATATAATATATACTTCATTTAAAAATTCTTGTTTGATGTCTTTAGAATTATCAAGGCCTTTTAAACAAACATCAACTTGACATTTTCGTTCCCAAAAATTCTTTTGGCTATCAAAGCCATTAATGAATCCATCAGCCCATACTGCCTTGAAAACAGTGCCAAAGCCTCCTTTAGCAATATATTTTATATTTGCAAATTTACTAAAAGGTATCCATTCAATGATATCTTTATATTTCTCAGCATTGAGTTGAGTTTGTTTAATAAATTCATCAATATCGTGATTGCCACTTGTCCAATTATGAAATTCCTTTCGAAATCTTAACATTGGTTGAATAATAAGTATAATTATGAGCTACTATTTAAAAATAACTAATACATACTGTCTATCATGAGTTAAAAATAAAATATTATTAGAATTATCACTAGTGTATTGATTGCATTGATTTGTATAATGTTTTACTGTAACGTAAAAAATTCTTACTTGCTGTATTGACAAATAATATATTTGGATTAATTGGAATTAACGTTCGTTTGGGTATTTACTCGTACGTGATATGCTGTAAAAAAAAAATTTTTTTTTATAAAGAACTTACTTGCTGTATTGACAAACAAAATATTTTGATTAGTTAGAATTAACGTTCGTTAGAAGTATTTACTTTTTTATGATATGTTGTAAAAAAAAAACCTTACTTGCTATATTAACAAACAAAATATTTAGATTAGTTAGAATCAATGTTCATTAGTGTATTTACTTGTACATAATATGCTGTAAAAAAAAGAAAAAACTTACTAGCTGTATTGACAAACAAAATATTTGGATTAGTTAGAATTAGCATTTGTTAGAGTATTTACTTATGCTATAAAAAAAAAAAGAACTTACACACTGTATTAACAAACAAAATATTTTGATTAGTTAAAATTAATGTTTGTTAGAGGTATTTACTTGTATATGACATGCTGTAAAAACAAGAACTTACTCACTGTATTAACAAACAAAATATTTGGATTAGTCAGAATTAATTTTTATTAGGGTATTTACTTATATATGATATTCTGTAAAAAAAAAAATTCTATAAAGAACTTACTAGCTGTATTGACAAACAAAATATTAGGATTAGTTAGGATTAACATTTATTAGAGTATTTAATTATGCTATAAAAAAAATTATAAAGAACTTACACACTATATTGACAAACAAAATATTTGGATTAGTTAGAATTAACATTTGTTAGGGTATTTACTTGTATGTTGTTAACCTGTAGTTTTTCCTTTAACTACAGTGATATCAGAAGCTGCTCAACTATAGTATGACGACTATAA